CCTTGGAAACAGGCCCTCGGTGACCTGCTCTCCTGTCGACAGGCGTCGCCAGCGGCATCGGCGGGGCAACGGCCACCAGCATCATTTTTGCATGTTTCACTCCAGCTATCATCACTCCAGACATACTATAAGTATGTGGGGTTCCTCGGTCGCATACTTGTTGTTGTTGCTGTTGCTGTTGCTGGTGAGGATGATGACGATGCTGCTGCTGATGATGCTGGTGGTGATGAGGATAGTGGTTGTGATATTGATGGTGATGTCGATAGTGACGATGGTGAAGATGCGGATGCTGATGGTGGCGCTGAGTATGGTCATGGTTGAAACGCCTGTGCCTTGGGATTTTTGCCAAACTATAGGCAGGACTTGCTGACCCTGAGCTTCAGCCACGCTAGTACGGAGCCGTTATTGGCTCCACTTGCGCCGTGTATCATACCACTTCCAATGTCATGACGGACCGAAGGTTCGAAGGCACCTGGGTGATTGCAGACGTACTTCAGTTCAGAAACACCCATTTCTCCTTCGCTGCGATGGAGAACGGCAGCTCCCCTATCCTGGGAGAGAGCGCGTTTTGTGAACGCTGGTAATGAGAGGTGTGGGGGGTGTCGAACCCGGGGGGGGAAGGCACCCCCCCGACTTGCAAAAAAGAGGAGTTCGAAATGGCCGCCCCCCTCGCAAGGCGTGCGGGGTGGGGGTCGAAGTGGGCCCCCACCCCTGACCAGGGTCGAAGTGTGGGGGGGTGGTCGCACCAGGGGATGGGGGTTCGAACCAGGGTGGGGGGCCTCCTCCCCCTTCCCTGTCCAGGGGCAACCGACGACGGTGAGCGCCGGCGCCGGCGCCGGCGTCTTCGGGCAGCGACGGCGACGATCGAACTTTCGTAGGGTGCTATAAAGACTGGACCGAGCCTTTGCGAACTTCTGTTGGAGATGGATCGAGCCCTCGCAGGATTCAGTCGGACCTGGACCTTTTTATAATAGGATCCTATCAGAGCTGCATCGCCAACTGCTGTAGGATTCTGTTAGAACCGGCCAGGTCCTTACTAGGTTATTTGTGCAAAATAAATAGTTGCCATGTTTAAAGTGTTGGATCGGGCTCCGCTAGGGTGCTAGTAAAAATTGATCCAGCTATCGTAGGCATGTATGAGAGCTCTCGATCACTGACATAGTTCTAATATAATGAGTATGATGTGTAAGTGGCAAAATCGAGCGACAACATTCGGTATTTCATAACATGGCGACAACAAAGTGTGGATCTTTTTCTGCCACCTGCTGGCCGATGTTGCCTTTCACCTGGACGGGCCGAACAAAACGAAACTACCCGTGACAGCCAGTGCCCAGGCTTCGGTGCGAGTCGGGGCAAACCAGAGAAAACCCCGATGGCGAATGATACGAATTCTTTTGGAAACGTGTCGGCCCCACGCTTGCACAGAAGGTGTGTTATATCCCCTCATGGTTAGCCCAAACGGCCATGCTACTACACACAACTTTATGCAAACAGGAAGAGGAGGACGATGATGATGATGAGGAGGAGGAGAGCGAAAAACCCGCAGTGGCTTCGGATTCGGGGGGACTCGCCCACCGTGCGGCGACCAGTCGCAAAGCGTGCGACGAGATAGTGAGTTTGGAGTCAACAGCACCACGCACCAGTACGAGAGGGGAGACAAGAGCACGACGGCCATGAACAAAAACAGCAGCAGCATCGGCAGGAGGGCAGGAGGAGGGAGGAGGGGAGGAGGGGAGAGGGGGAGGAGGGAGGAGGGAGGATGGAGGAGGGGAGGAGGGAGGAGGGGAGGAGGGAGAGGGGGGAGGAGGGGAGGAGGGAGGAGGGGAGGAGGGAGGAGGGGAGGAGGGAGGAGGGGAGAGGCCTGGGGGGTGCGCGCCGCGCCGCCGCGGCGGAGGGCACCGCGAAGGGACATGCAGCGGGGGCGCGCCTCAAGAAGCCATCTGCTTTTCGTCAGGGTACTCAAGATTTCGTAATAAAGGGAGTGGGGTCTCACTTCGGGGGGGGGTCTCTTCCAGGCCATCTTGGAGGGCCTGGGGGGTCTGGGGACGATGTTTTGGAGGGTTCTCCCACGGGGGAGGTCCGAAATGGCTTGTCTTGGAGGGTCCAGACCCCCTCCCTGTTATTACGAAATTTGGAGTATCCTGGGTTGCTTCGCTCCGCGCGCTGCGCGGCGGCTTCCCGCGGCCGTGGGAGGAGCCGCTGCGTTCCGAGTGCTCCGGGTTTCCCCTCTGGTGCACCTCGCGCGCGGGTTTTCAGGGTTGGGCTTCGTGCGAGGGTTTCTTGCGGCCGCGCTCGCACTGTACTGCTCTGCGCGCCAGCTCGCTCACGGTGTCGGGCGTGAGCCTGGGCTGGAACACCAGGAGCTGGTCCAGGTCGCTGCGCAGCACGCCCAGCTCGGTGCGGGCGAAAGTGGGCGATCGTGGGACGGCAGGCGCAGCAACGTATAGGGTCTTCGCCCTTCCACATGCGAATACGCATCCGAATTCGCCTGCCGGGCACTGTCCCTGCCCGCGTCCGAATACGCATCTTCTCCCTCCTCCTCCTCCTCGTCCTCCTCCTGCTCCTTCTCCTGACGGACGCGGTGGTGCGCTGGCGCTGGCGGCCGCGCAGTCTTTCTAACTTGTCGACTTCCGCCCCACAGAAGTGTCATCCTGCCCGCTCCCATACGCTCCCTCGGGCTCTGGAGGCCTTCGCCGGGCCTCGGGACCGTCAAAAAACGACTCAGGATGAAAAGCCGGCCCCGGGGAAAGGGTCGGGACTTCTGGGGGCGCCGCCCTGAAAAAATCAGGACGTCGCATGTCTGGGAACCGTACCCCTACCCCCCACGATTTCTGAGGGGGAGGGTGGGGTTCACTTCGTCTGGGAGCTCCCGAGCGAAGTGAACCCCACCCTCCCCCTCAGAAATCGTGGGGGGTAGGGGTAGGGTTCGCACGTGGCCCCCTTCGCCCGAGGAAGGGCCTCGGCCTCCTCCTCCTGGGTGCCAGGCGCCCTCCAGCTGGGCCGCCTCTGCGGAGAGGCTGGGCTCCTGGGCCCTGGTGCCTCTTCGGTGCTGCTCCGGCCTGGTGCGGCCCGATCTGGCCGAGAAGCCGGCTCCGTCCTTTCCGAGGAGTGCTCCGGCGGAGGCCAGCCCTTCGTCGGGCCCTCGAGCCAGCTTGCCAGTTCTGCTGCACCGTGCCCGGCGTCGCAGGCCCAGAGGTTGGCGCCCACACACCAAGATCGGAGGTGTGCCTCCACCGAGGGAAGAAGAGAGCCCGATCTCGGTGATGGTGGTAGTATTCTGGCTTCCAGGTGGCCGAATTTTTGCCACCAGCACCGAGATCTAGGATCATCCTCCCCCTCTGTGGAGGCAACCTCCTGTGTTTGTCTTGGTGCCCGGTTCCGGGCCTCCGGCAGCGAAGGCCTCCCAGATGTTGCCCCCCCCCCCATGTGCTGAGGTGCGTTGCGCGGGCGGGCCTCCCTCGGAAGGACACCGCCCTCCCCCTGCCCGGCGGCCCCGGCCCCTCTTGCAGGTGCCGCCCAGCCTGCCAGAGGGCACCCAGTCAGCCCCACGAAGGGCCCCACCGATGCAGCTGCGTGTGGCGCAAGGCGTGGCCCCCTCACATGCCGTGCGCGGCGGGAGTGATAGCTGTTTGGGGGTGGACGGAAGATGGGGGGCTGCCCACCAAACGTGCAGAGGATGCGCTGAGCACCCTAAAAAGGACGATCCGAGTGAAGGGCGTGCCGAAGTGGGCGGGAGACCGCATGCGGGCGCCCTCACAGGTGCCGCGGGTGGACCTCCCTACATGGGGCGGGATCTGTGCGATGGGTGTGCTGACACGGGCGGGGGACTCCATGCGGCCACCCTCCCTGGTTTCGTGACCGGCGACCTTCTATGGGGCAGGATCCGCGCGAGGGATTTGCCAAGATGTTGCAGGTGGAGATCCTTGTGGGGCAGGATCGGTGTGAGGGGTGTGCCGAATTGGGCGGGGGCCGCATGCGGGCGCCCTCACTTGTGCGATCCGTGTGGGTACAGGGCCCGTTTCCACCAGGACCCTTTTTTCTGGTGCCAGGGCGCGCGATTTAGGAGCTGGAGTTACGGTTCTAGTGATTGCCATCATCAGTTTGCCGATCCGTGTCGACGATGATTGCCGCCGCTGGTGCCGCTGCTGCCGCTGCCTATCCTCCCCCTCCCCCGCCCAGGAGGAGGCCAAGCGTGCTCGGGACAAGGCCATCGATAGCGCCGACGATAAGATCAGCAAGCTCAGAGCCTTCAGGGAGGCAAAGGAGAAGGAGGCCCAAGCGGAGGAGGAGGAGGAGGAGGAGGAGGAGAAGGAGGAGGAGGAGGAGCAGCAGGAGGAGGAGCAGCAGGAGGAGGAGGAGGAGGAGGACGAGGAGGAGGACGAGGAGGAGGAGGAGGAGGATGAGGAGGAGGAGGAGGCGGAGGAGGCGGAGGAGGCGGAGGAGGAAGACGTTGCGAGGATGAGGCGACCTGCGGCGCCGGGGCAAGCCGAGGCGGGGCCTCGCCCGGACCCCGGCCCCACCTCCCCGACGCACGCGGCGGCGCTCTGCCCCGCAAGGGGCACATCGTCGGGTTGGGCAGCGCAGGGAGACCGGGAGCGCAAGAAGGGCAGGCAGGGAGGTTCGGGGGCGGCAAAGCAAGCGGGGGGGGGTGACTAGGGGGGGGCGGCTATCATGGAGGGGGCCACGATAGTTTCCCAGATCTCATGGCGCCTCTTCTTGCTCCATTACGTCCCTGGACCCCCCGTTTGGCCGCGCACATGCCGCCGGCCATGATTTGCACCCCCCCGTCTTGGACGCCCCCCTCTTGGCCGCTCCCGAAGGTAGGTGGATGGGCCGATGCGCGAGTGGGAGCAGGCAAGCTGGGACGCTGGCAGGCGGGCCAGTGAGAAAAAGAGGGCTCAAGATCGGGAGCGCAGGAGGGGCAGGCAGGTACTCTGGCTTTCGGAATAAGCGTGGGGGGGGACCCCCCCGACGGGGGTCAACCTCGCCTCGTCGTGGCGCCGCGACGGGGGTCGGAGCGCCTTCGGCGCGCGGTGGTTGCCCTTCGACGGGGTTCGATGCGGGGCTGTCGGCGGAGGTGACGCCCCCCCGACGCTTATAAAGAAACTTGGAATAGGTGGATGGGCAGATGCCCGAGTGAGAGCATGCAGGCTGGGAAATTGGCAGGCAGGCTAGTGAGAAAAGAGGGTTCAGGATGGGGTGGGCAGCAAGCCCGGGTCGAGGAGGACAGCAGGCGCAGGTGTACGACCAGGACAGGTTTCGAATCCAGCTCGAAGGTGCGGGCGTGCGGATGATGATGATGATGATGATGATGATGATGATGATGATGATGATGATGATGATGATGATGATGATGATGCTGATGATGATGATGATGATGATGATGATGATGCTGCTCCTGATGATGATGAAGATGATGATGTTGATGATGTTGATGGTGATGGCGATGATGCTGCTGCTGATGATGATGATTATGATGATGCTGCTGATGATGATTATTTCCTACCTAGGCTCTGCCTAGAAGGGTTCTTACTCTCTATGCTAAAGGGGCCGGGCAGTGCAACTCGCCCTGGGCGGTTCCCCTGGCATCCGCCCCGCGGTTCCCCCAGTCCCCTGGGAGCTTGAGCTTTAGCTTTAGCTTTAGCTTTAGCTTAGCTTTAGCTTAGCTGTAGCTTAGCTTTAGCTCAGCTTTAGCTTAGCGCTACCTTAGCTTTAGCTTAGCATTGGCTTAGCTTTAGCTTAGCTTTAGCTTAGCTTTAGCTTAGCTTTAGCTTAGCTTTAGCTTAGCTTTAGCTTAGCTTCAGCTTAGCTTCAGCTTAGCTGTAGCTTAACTTTAGCTTAGCTCTAGCTTAGCTTTAGCTTAGCTTTAGCTTAGCTTTAGCTTAACTTTAGCGCAACTTTAGCTTAGCTTTAGCTTAGTTTTAGCTTAGCTTTAGCTTAGCTTTACTGTTACTACTAATGCTACTTTCCTGGGGGCTCCAGCTCCTAGGTAGGGTCGCACTGGGATAATGATGATGCTGCTGATGATGATTATGCTGCTGATGGTGATTATGATGATGATGATGCTCATGATGCTGGTGACAATGCTGATGCTGCTGATGATGAGGCAGCTGATGATGACGATGCTGATGATGATGGTGATGCTGATGATGATGATGATGGTGATGGTGATGATGCTGATGCTGATGATGCTGTTTCTGATGATGATGCTGCTGATGATGATTATGCTGCTGATGATGATTATGATGATGATGCTGAGGATTATGCTGCTGATGATGATGATGATGATGCTGATGATGATGATGATGATGATGCTCATGATGATGCTGATGACAATGCTGATGCTGCTGATGATGAGGCAGCTGATGATGATGATGATGATGATGATGATGATGATGATGATGATGATGCTGATGATGCTAATGATGCTGATGATGGTGATGACGTTGTTGTGGTCGTTGTTATTCTTGCTGTCGTTGCTGTCATTGTTGTTGTTGCTGCTGCGGCTTGTTGCTGTTGTTGCTGTTCCCCATCTGTTTCGTGGGGTTATCTTTTTCTTTTCTGCCGCGTCGCACCCGCATCTCCTCACCTTCCCCATCTCGTTCTTGCTTGCACAAGCGCGTCTGCAGACAGCCACACACAACATACAGTGATCGTGCACTCCTGGCGTGTTCACTGCATCACACACCCCAGATGTGTGCACCACATGCTGGGCATCCACAGAGACACGCCCACACACAGCCGCACACGCATCATACGCACACCACACAACACATACGCGCAATATTCGCAACGCGTGGCAGGCGTGGCAGACGTGGCACTTTCTCGACACCAGAGGGTGTGCGCAGGGGGTGGTCTCTGAGCGCGGTCTCTATACGGAGCAGGCTCGGAAAGTGTTGTAGGCGTGGCAGTTTCTTAACACCAGAGGGGTGTGCAGGGGGTGGTCTCTGAGCGCAGTCTCTTTACGGTCCAGGCTCGGAAGGTGTGGGAAGCGTGGCATTTCCTTGGCACCAGAGGGAATGCGCAGGGGGTGGTCTCTGAACGCGGTCTCTATACGGTCCAGTCTCGGAAAGTGTGGCAGGCGTGGCACTTTCTCGACACCAGACGGGGTGCGCAGGGGGTGGTCTGTGAGCGCGGTCTCTTCACGGTCCAGGCTCTGAAAGTGTGGCAGGGGTGGCAGTTTGTTGACACCAGGCGGGGTGCGCGGGGGGTGGTCTCTGAGCGCGGTCTCTTTTCGGTCCAGGGTGGCATTTTCTCGACAACAGACGGGGTGCGCAGGGGGTGGTCTCTGAGCGCGGTCTCTATCCGGTCCAGGCTCGGAAATTGTGGCAGGCGTGGGTGGCACTGTCTCGACACCGGGCGGGGTGCGCAGGGGGTGGTCTGTGAGCGCGGTCTCTAAACCAGGATCGGCAAGTGTGGCAGGGGTGGCAGTTTCTTGGCACCAAGGGGAATGCGCAGGGGGGGGTCTCTGAACGCGGTCTCTATACGGTCCAGGCTCGGAAAGTGTGGCAGGCGTGGCAGTTTCTTGGCACCAGAGGGGGTGCGCAGGGGGTGGTCTCTGAGCGCGGTCTCTTCACGGTCCAGGCTCGGAAACTGTGGCAGGCGTGGCACTCTCTCGACACCAGACGGGGTGCGCAGGGGGTGGTCCCTGAGCGCGGTCTCTATATACGATCCAGGCTCGGTAAGTGTGGCAGGGACCAGAGGGTTTTGCGGAAAAGGACAATTGGCGTGACTGCCGTCAGGAAGACCACTAAACTACAATCGGATGGCCGAGAAGAGGGTAACGCCACCCGATCACGATTGGCCAGTGAGCCCCGACCCGAAGACCTCGGTCCACTCCCGGGAATAGCAAGCGCACGTGGGAGACAGTGATGCAAGTATGGATCGAGGAGATCCGGATATCATCAGGGAACCAGGGCGAAGACCTGAACCTGCGTGGGTGCGGAGAAACTGTTACGCCCGCCTACAACCAGGCCATAGCGCTGTGACAGAGTCTGCGATGGGCATGCGCACGGGGCGCGGCCCCCGCTTAGATATTCTCAATCGAAGAGCGCTCCTGGAGACTCTCCGTCCAAGGGATTTTCTGATGTTTGCGAGTTGGGCGCTGGCGGAATTTGCGTTCCGTGTCGTGCGTGACCTGTTGCCGCCTTGGAAACAGGCCCTCGGTGACCTGCTCTCCTGTCGACAGGCGTCGCCAGCGGCATCGGCGGGGCAACGGCCACCAGCATCATTTTTGCATGTTTCACTCCAGCTATCATCACTCCAGACATACTATAAGTATGTGGGGTTCCTCGGTCGCATACTTGTTGTTGTTGCTGTTGCTGTTGCTGGTGAGGATGATGACGATGCTGCTGCTGCTGATGATGCTGGTGGTGATGAGGATAGTGGTTGTGATATTGATGGTGATGTCGATAGTGACGATGGTGAAGATGCGGATGCTGATGGTGGCGCTGAGTATGGTCATGGTTGAAGCGCCTGTGCCTTGGGATTTTTGCCAAACTATAGGCAGGACTTGCTGACCCTGAGCTTCAGCCACGCTAGTACGGAGCCGTTATTGGCTCCACTTGCGCCGTGTATCATACCACATCCAATGTCATGACGGACCGAAGGTTCGAAGGCACCTGGGTGATTGCAGACGTACTTCAGTTCAGAAACACCCATTTCTCCTTCGCTGCGATGGAGAACGGCAGCTCCCCTATCCTGGGAGAGAGCGCGTTTTGTGAACGCTGGTAATGAGAGGTGTGGGGGGTGTCGAACCCGGGGGGAGAAGGCACCCCCCCGACTTGCAAAAAAGAGGAGTTCGAAATGGCCGCCCCCCTCGCAAGGCGTGCGGGGTGGGGGTCGAAGTGGGCCCCCACCCCTGACCAGGGTCGAAGTGTGGGGGGGTGGTCGCACCAGGGGATGGGGGTTCGAACCAGGGTGGGGGGCCTCCTCCCCCTTCCCTGTCCAGGGGCAACCGACGGACGGTGAGCGCCGGCGCCGGCGCCGGCGTCTTCGGGCAGCGACGGCGACGATCGAACTTTCGTAGGGTGCTATAAAGACTGGACCGAGCCTTTGCGAGCTTCTGTTGGAGATGGATCGAGCCCTCGCAGGATTCAGTCGGACCTGGACCTTTTATAATAGGATCCTATCAGAGGTGCATCGCCAACTGCTGTAGGATTCTGTTAGAACCGGCCAGGTCCTTACTAGGTTATTTGTGCAAAATAAATAGTTGCCATGTTTAAAGTGTTGGATCGGGCTCCGCTAGGGTGCTAGTAAAAATTGATCCAGCT